GTCAGTTTGAAGCTCAAGGAACATCGAAAACCTTTAGTTTATTACATTTTACGAACCACAAAAAAATTCACAATATCACAGAAGAATATCTTAGGTCAATACATTAGGTCAATACTTTAGCGCGATATTAGACAGATTTTATGATTTGGACGAGTTTGATTCCTAAATCTTTTTGAGATGCAACTATTCGTTTTCTCAGGAACCAACGGTCCCTGAAATTGAAGGATACCTGATGGGTTGGGACATGTTCGATGGAGATAAAGTGTAATACAGACTAACCATTTTTGCTACATGTATTCATTTATACGCAGCAAAGCCACTGGGCTTACTGTTACTCATGTTTCTCTAGCTAAAACAAAACCATGTTGAATTTGGGTGTGGGCGAGAGATGAGCTTGTCGCTGAAAATAAGAACCACGTACACCTACATGCCCTTGCATCTACACTGACTGCACACTCACGCCCTCGTCTTAGTGTATTTTTATCGGTGGGCACTATTCAGTGAATAGAAACAAGTAATCAACAATGATCGACAACATTATTGACGGAGAGTGATGTTGTTTTCATTTGCCTTCGTTACTAATGGGTTGATCAATACAAAGGTTCTACTTCGTTTTCGAAGAAAAAGAAATTCATTCTTAAAAAAAAAGGGAATGAAAGAGTCGATAAGAGTATTCTCTCTCCAAATTGCTTTTAAATCCTTCTCTATTTCACTTCGTCGACGACCTCTAGGTAGAAAAAATGGTGATGAGAATAGTAAAGCAATATTGTGCCAATCATCTTCATTCATCGTTTACAAATAAATGCCAAGTGATTCAAGTTTAAATAGGAAAGAAACGATTTGTTGATGAATATTGACATTATAATATAACTTGAAAGCTTTTTAAAAGTCTGAGTAACATAAAATAATCAGAGTTCTCGTGGAAAAACTTTCTGAATGACATTATCTCATATGAGTATAGCAAAATGAAGAACAAGAGTTGGTAAGGCTCTAGGACGGTGTGAGTGCTGCTGAGCTCTTCTCTTCCACACTCAATCTGCCGCCATAGAAAGAACACATATTTTAGCTGACGGGCAGGTCTTCAAATAGTGAATCATAATTTCCGTAAAGATATCTGACATGATTCTAGTGTTATATTCCAGAGACGAATACAGGGCAGTGCAATTTTTTGAAATTTTTGCTCTACTTGGCCTGTACAGTGAACAAGAACAGGCGTGAGACAGAGTACGACAAATAGACTTTTTTTGCTAATATTTTTTCATAAGCAGTTATTCGAAAACATTCTATAAATGTGAATATGAATCTTACAGAACATGTATCATCTGTTAAATTCCATTAGGTCTTGATGGTTTCATGTTTTCGATCGATATTATTCAAACGCACTTATCTAATGCTTATTCTAATTCATCATCATTCAATATCAATTCTTTCGATTTTAGTCAGATTTAACTCGTTTTATTATATCAAAAGTATGTCTAAGAAATAATGCCAAATGAATCTCCATCTGATACTAAATGTTGATGAAATCTATTGGCTCAATTATATAATGATCTCAAGTTATAAAAAATTACTTCTTTTATTAAAAGAAGTCTTATTTTTGGAGTCTACGGTTTTTTTTAAATTTCCAATTGGATTTTAGAAAAAAATCAACATTTTTTCTACCAGTGACAGCATGGGTACAGGAAGTCTAACGGAGACTTTAAATCTTTCCAAAATGATGGAGGGCACGTCTTCTAAACTACGCTATAACTATATCTCAAGCAACTGTTATTATTTGTTAATCCGTGCCCATTATTGATCATGAACACTGTGTCGCGCTATTATCAATACCACGAGACGCCCATTTTCAGTTGTGTGCAGTCCTTAACTATATCTCACAGTATATAGATATATATCCTCTTTTGTTAAGCAGAGGAAGAGGTTTTCGGTGGCCTTTACATAGATGTCATAATATACAAACATATATCGATGCTAATACTAAATCATTATGAGATATATGTATTGATTCTCATAGACCCCCGAAGATCCATACTGCTTAATAAAAGAAAGTATATATCTATATATTATGAACTATATTTAAAGACAACTATTTTAGTTTGTAATCAGACGTTTTTTTTTTTGAAAATTCAGATTGAAATTCAATAGATCGTTGTATATATTTTTGTATGAATATTTTTATAAGTATTATACAGTCGTGCATAAAAACGCCAAGATGTTGAATGCAGATCTATTATTTTTTCATCAAGAATAAATTAAAATGACACTATTTCCACTTGATTGTAAATTGATTCTCAGCCGTCAGTTTTGCTTGTGCTATGATCAAGATTTGAAATTTTTTTTTCAAATTAATTAAAAAGACTTGGCAATTTTATTCAGTTTTAATTTACCAATGAACTTAAATTGGTTAGAAATATTTCGATATCATGTTTGAAATTAGAGAAACACAAAAACATACGTCTAAAATCAGGTTTTAATCAGATGACAATAGTACCATTTTAATCGATTTCAGAGGAATTCGTTGTTGGTTTTATATATGGAAAATATTCTCTTGAAGTAATGAAGACAATATATTAACATAAAAAATACTGTTCCTTTTCGTTTCATTTGAGATTAATTCAAAGATAGTTCTAAAAGTAAATGTTGTTATCTTGCATATAATACAAGAAGCTAATTATTTGCCGGCACATTATATTGTGTTACTCAGTTGCACAACGTAGACTATAGTAAAGGACAAGTGACGGTAAGGCCATTTTTTGATCCCTTGGATTTTGAATAAAAATCACTCGAACATATCAAATCGATCATGGAGAACATTTTTTGCGACTCAATTTTGAAAAATCGGTCTGATCGATTTTTCCGACCTGGAGTCTCCCTCTCAGGGATTGGTCAGAAAATTTTTGTCTATCTTTATTGCAATAAGCACATCACTCGATACAGAATTTCATGCTGATCGCGAATATCACCTCGACATTTCAAAAGTGCAAAGTTTTGTTTTGTTCATTAGTCAACATGGAAAATAAGTTCATTATAGTCAAACATATGCTTTTATACTCGAAACTCAATGGTTCATTCGATGTATATCAAATGATCATCTTAAAGGTTCGAACTTGGGCCGATTAGAACCTTATAGAGTAAGCTTCACATAAAATTGTTGGCTTTTGCATATTGAAAACGTGTTTTCTCAATAATTCAATCTTTATCCAATGTATTTTATAGATTGTTGGACGCGTTTTTTTTTTTCATACAAATTTCGAAAATGAGGCCAGAATTGAAAAAACAATTGCAAAAAATGTTCATATTGAGTCAAAACCGTGAAAAATTCATTTTTCAGCTTGTATTTCCTAAATAACAGCTCTACAAAAAGTTCCAATTTCAGTTTAAACACCATATTCTGAATCAGCGTCGAAAAACACACCAAACCATGCAATTTTAAGTGAAAACTATTTCCAATGAAAAATTTCACTTGTGCTCCCCTCAGCTCTATGACTTCAAAATTTTGTCTGTGGTCTCCTACAGGACAGTTTTTCATTAAAAAAGATTTTTCTTACAGAATATTTCATTCGACTCGGTTTTCTGCGCTGATTCAGAATATGGTGTTTAAATTGAAATGAGAACTTCTTTAGAGCTGTTATTCAGGAAACACGAGCTGAAAAACGGATCTTTCACGGTTATGACTCAATATGAACATTTTTTGCAACTGTTCTTTCAATTCTGACCTCATTTTCGAAATATGTATGAAAAAAAACGTATCTAACAATCTATAAAATACATTGGATAAAGATTGAATTATTGAGAAAACACGTTTTCAATATGCAAAAGCCAACAATTTTATGTGAAGCTTACTCTATAAGGTTCTAATCGGCCCAAGTTCGAACCTTTAAGATGATCATTTGATATACATCGAATGAACCATTGAGTTTCGTGTATAAAAGCATATGTTTGACTATAATGAACTTATTTTCTATGTTGACTAATGAACAAAACAAAACTTTGCACTTTTGAAATTTCGAGGTGATATTCGCGATCAGCATGAAATTCTGTATCGAGTGATGCGCTTATTGCAATAAAGATAGACAACAATTTTCTGACCAATTCCTGAGAGGGACTCCAGGTCGGAAAAACCGATCGGACCGATTTTTCAAAATTGAGTCGCAAAAAATGTTCTCCATGATCGATTTGATATGTTCGAGTGGTTTTTATTCAAAAATCAAGGGATCGAAAAATGGTCTTACCGCCACCTGTCATTAGAATATTGTACAATTCAACTGTTATTGCATTTATACGTAGAATTCTGCTTCGGAATAAAAAAATGAGAATTTGGAATGCAATCTCGTGGAGCACCCTCTGCACAAATGTAACAAAAGGTGAGACGTACGTTGCACAAAGTTTGTCAATTTCTTACCTTGTAGAAAATTGTCTTCTTTACAACTTTGATTTCTTTAACTAAATCACAGGTCTTAAATAGAATTTCTGTACCAAAATATGAAAAAAAAGGAAAATTCTTAGAGCATTTTAAGTGTTACTGTGATTATCGCTTAGAATGATTATAGGAAAATATCTAATAGAAAAATTGAGGCACTCTATTTGTTCGTTATTTATTTAAATTAGCACAAATGCATATTGATATAATTAGTAATATCGTATAGGCTTCGTTTTCAAATATAAATCATACTCTTATTTTACTTATGATTATCAAAATATTTACGAATATAAGATTTCATTAAATATTATTTTATGAAAGTGGTTTAATATTTGTACCGCAATGATTATCAAATTTTTATCACAATTTGCAACGAGACTCGAGTTTCTGAATTTAATACATTAAACTAAAACTCTGAAAATAGTCAAATCTTATTTCTATTCAGATTCGTTCAGTCAGTTGAAAAGATGTACCTAAAAAAAAAAGCTGAAATTCAATCAGTGCTTTTCTCATATCCAATATCTTTAACTTGTTCGTTTTATATTTATTTAATTAAATTAACACTTTTTTTTATTAGTAGTTATTCTTTTGTTGTATACGCAGTACATTCAATTTCAACTTTGGCATTAGCTGGTAACGTTTTGACAGCAAAAGTCGAACGAGCTGGATAGTCTTCCATTGAGGAAAAGAATGATTTATAAATTTCGTTTACCGCTTGAAAATCATTCATATCAAGTAATAGGACAACACAGCGTGCTACTTGATTTAAACTAGATCCAGCTGCATTTAAGACGGCTTGTATATTATAAAATACTTGTTGAGTTTGATTTCGAACATCATCGGATACCAATTGACCTGTCGTAGCATTGATTCCAATTTGACCACTTAAATAGAGCATATAATTGATTTGAACAGCTTGATTATATGGTCCAATAGGTTTTGGAGCATCCTAAACATATATGTAGAAAGAGAATGTAGATTGAAATATTAACTTACTGGTGTCATTATAATTTTCTTGTTGACATCATAATCTGTTAACTGTTTTTGTAATCTGTCATCTGTTGATTTCCGTATTGAAATAACAGAATCGATTTCAACAAAGAAACCCAGTAAAGAAATAAATATAATGATAAATGTTTTCATTGTAATGAAAAAAATTCTAATAAAATAGAAGGCGAGATGCAGAAGATTATCAAAATAGACTAATACTTACATTTTTTTATAAAGAGAAGGTGATTATTATGTTATGATTGTGCAAGATTGATAGTTTGCCGAATCGAAAAAATATACTTTTCTTCTTTTCTAAAACACGACTGTAAATAAATCTTAAAATGTGGAATTTTCGACCAGCCGAACGATTTTTACCGAGGAGATCAAAATAAAGAGGATTTTTTTCTATAGATGCCTCATTCTCGACTCGTTGAAATCTATTGAATAAATGCAAAGAAGGAGATTCGAACCTGGATACTTACGACTAATATTCATTGAATATCTAAACTAAATATGAACTGTTGCTCTTCTATGAAAGTTATCTTTTCAATTCTTAGAAGGATAGTACTTTCAAGATTGTTCTTTTAATATTTACCAACAGTTGTCGAAAATTAAAAAACAAAAACTTTTTAATCGAATAAAAATACCTTTTACGTATTTCTAACTACAGAAGAAGCTTTTTTTTTTGAATCTGGGATGCCATATAAGGAGCTGATCTGATAAATATGACATTCGATATATTAATATTAAAAAAATTCTTCAAAGATTCAAAACACAAAATTCGTTGTGGCTGTGCTTTTTGTCAAAAACGCTTATGGATCCGAGTATTACGTGTTATTTTTCATCAGTTACTGTTAAATATTTTTTTTAAAAATTATGAAATTAAGGGAAATATATGTCGAACATAAATCATTCTATTAAGATAGCTGAATGAAATAAACCTTTGTAAATCACTTTTTAAAGAAGTTTCACGAAATCAAAATTAATCTCACCACTTGAAACTGTTATTCTACTAGACTTGCTTCTACTGAAGCACTCAATATTCTACTTCCAGTATGTTTCTTTTCTCGAGTATTCGAAACTTCGATGAATATTGAAGGATCTAAAAGTGTTTGATGAGTCCAGAGTGAATGTCCAATAGGATACAGTTTTCGAGTAGTCGAAATACGATGGCTGTCGAAGGGCTCAAAATCGGAGCAAAACGAGTGAAAATCATATATTTCAAACTTTCAATCGCTCGTCGCATCCATCGCACGCTTGTTAAAATCTGCTAGGGTAGTTCCCCATGTTTTCGATTACAATCGAATCACGATGCAGTTGCTAAAAAAAGAGACGACATGAGTCTGATGCGCTGGAATTTTTTCATTTCATAGAGATTTTATTGAGAGAAAATTTTTACATGAAATTAAAAATAGAATAAACAAAAATTTTGTAAACGCGACTGATTCACACTGAAACATGTCCTTTTAAATAATATACTCACCCTGATCTACGAAAGTAAAAAATGAGAATGCGCAAAGCTATTTAAAAGCCTAGCATCGTGAGTTTTTTATCTTTTTACATTGTCAGGAAAAAATGATGTTATCAATTTTTTTACATTGTCAGGAAAACATGATGTTATCAAAATGTCCACAAACAATAGAAAAACATATGGGTTTTGCATGTAGTCACAAAGTCTTCGTAGTATCGAAATTAATCACATTTGTTTCACAAAATTATACACATATTATCATCTTATTAGAATTCTCATTTTTTTAGAAAGTATGGCATGTAGATTTGATTGCAAAAACAAAAACTGAGACTTTTTCTCATACATAAATGTTGTTTATTTGTTTCTTTATCACCTCTCTTTTATCTCGCTCACACTTAGAAATTATCCTTGATCATCATTGCGCATTCATTTCTGTATGGGTCTTATCTATGAATGACACATTTTATCTATAAACATTTGCCTACTTCTTTTTGTTTCTTTATTTAAACATATTCAAATGTAACACATAACGCAAAGTAATAATAGTGAATGAAATTAATATAATAGCATACAAATGACTAAATACTATATTATTTTCAAACAATTTATAGTATTTTTGAACTGATACAAAGTTTAAAGAGACCAATCATTTTAATTGTTGCGGTATTATTTGTTTGTTTCTGCTTCATGAATTTATTTGTTTTACTTGTAAAGAGATTTGTATTGCGATGCCAATCATCTATCACTGCTATATAGTAATTTTTCGTACCCCCCCCCCCCCCACCCCTTCTTCTTCTATGTAGTTTCGAACTCCGTGAAATTGTTATAAATTATTATTACTCACTAATTTTAATTTGACTTCTTATGCAAGATCAATGTTTTTCTTGATTTCAATGGTTCGAAAGATGATATACATCGAAAAAAAGAAGAGATTCTTTTTTTCTGCATAGTGGCTCTCATTATTTAATGAAACAAACCAAGTTGATGCCATAACAAGATCTATATTGATTTAAAATAGCATAAGAGTTTAATTCCATTAATCGACATGACTAGGTATCCACTTTTTTAGTATATTAGATTTAGTACTTATAGAAAGGGGACTACCGAATACAAATAAATTCCCGATGTTATTGCATGCATTATCGAATATACCACCGGACATGTTTTTATCTCAATAAACAATCGATCATATGCTTGGAGCGCATTTTTTCAAATGCTTTATGACAAGAACTTCTGATCGAGAAGATCTTAATTGGACTCTAGTGCAATTACTCTACCTGTTTGTTTGAATCTAACCAACAAGTTTAGATCTCATCAAGTTTCTTGTATATACCTATCTAGGCAATCATAAACATTGATAGTCTCGTAAAAATGATATAGATTCACATATGTATCATCTTTGATGACGTATACTTTTGAATGTGTTACAGATTACATTTGCATTATTCCCCCATTTCAGGAGCAAGGATTAAGAAACAATAATAGAAATAATCAAAAGAACAGTCAACGACAGTAAGTGATAGATATCCAACCACTGCAAAATAATACGATTCACATTTTGTGTAATACAAACCATGCAATAAAAATACGTGTATTGGTTGTGAACGAACCACATAGTGACTGTCGAATTCTAATATATCGCTGAATATGTTGATACACTTCCATTGATTATTCTACTTCAAAATTGACAAATAGTTCGTAATTGATGTCACGACTTCCATGTTTATTATATTTTTCTATGCAGTTAATAGTTTATTCAGCTTATTCTGAGGTGAAACTTCACTCTTTTAGTTATTTTTTGTGTATATATTACCAATGAGACTATTGACGATCTACTCAGCCAGATATATGAATAATTTGCAAAAATACATAGTCTCGTTTTTCCTCGCTTTTTTGATCATGATATTTTTCAAGTATAAAACTAAAGTCTCCGAAATAATTTCTTCCAATGTAAAACGGTTTCAGAGACTTGTTCTTCAATTGATGATCTCAGTTGTTGGATTGCTCTCATCATTATTTAATCCTGTTTCTGAATCATTTCTTTTTTACTCAGATGAGGACAGACTACATTTCAGAACTTAGATATGCATAAATTGAACTGATTATATTCTAGTTTTAGTCGTTTTTTCTCTATCTTCCATGAAATTAGGATTATTTACTTGATATGTTTCTTTATTGTTAACGAATCCACATTCGAACAACAGTGTCCCGGCGAGATATTTTCGTAGTGGAAAATCTGGGTGAGAGTTGTTGTTGTAACCATTCACAGAGTTCGTCTTGTGTCGATTCAATAGATCGATTGGACTTATCATATTGACATTGAATATTCAATGCACGAAGATAATTCATTGTATTAATAAGATCAAGTATACATGTTCGATTTGCAACCATAAGATTCAGTACTTTACAATGAATACTAGGTATTATATCGCTTATCATAATACATTGCTTTTTATTCAAAGATCGACCATAGCATAATAATTCAAGTTGATATACTGACCAATTTCGACTTTCGAAAAGTTTTATTAGAGGACTTGTCAAAGTTTTCCAACCAAGACGTATGGAAGATAGACGAGGAGCTCGATCAAGTGAATCTTCTAGTTGATGTTGACAATGTTCATCATAATTGTTCGATAGTGCATCAAGTGAAATCAAATGATCGAATCTTGGAACAATAGACCAAAAATGAGCACTAATTGGAAATTCAATTGAAAGATGTTGAATATTAGAAAATTGAATATGAGGCGAAGATGATATGTTGAATAAACGAGGCTTATATATCAAACTATGCACGTTATCATATGATCGTAAATCATTATCATATGGTGAGGTTGATTTTGACTGTATAGGTGAATAAAAATAGAAATTATTAAAAGCATATGGTAAAGTATACAGAATGACAAATTCTTTGTATAAGTTCCAATCACATTGAACAAACCAACGATGTTCTACTAGCCAAAATTGACTTCGAAACTTATCAAGTATCCTGTCAACTTGTCCCTCTTCTGTGAGATCGCCATTTAAGGAAACTAACATTTTAAATTGTAATCGCTCAAGCTTTGCTAAATAATTACGAATCATTTGTTCCCATCTTTGTCCATCCACATATAAATAAACAGAACAGAATTCTACTTTCAAATGACGTAGATTAGGCGTCTTTCGTAAAAAATTAAAGAAACTATCCCGATACTGAGAACTTGATAGTGATATATTTAAAGTGGTCATTGACGGAATTATTGACAATGAGTTCATATGTATATTCAAACAATTATCGGCCAAAATATGTCGAAGACGTGGTGTATGTGCAAATAACTGATCCATCACAATGTCGCATTGTTTCATACCTATGAACGACAAATATTCAAGTGTTAATGAAGTCACCGTTGGAATAATAAAAATGCCATTATCACGACGACATCTGTCTGCAAAATGATGAGTTTGCCGATATTTATATTCCACTTTAACACAAAAGCAAACAAGTTTAGGTAAACTCCAAATACAACTTCCAAAAGAGACGGCTTTTTCATTGTTCGATCTCAATGGAAAATAACATTGCCCAAAGGTAAGATGCGTAAGATTGGATAAATATGGTAAATCGAACATGACTTTATCCATCATTGTCTCAGATCGAATGTCATATAAGTAAAGTGATTTTAAATTAATGAATTGCTGAAAAGTGAAACCATGTCCAAAGAATTGATCGATTTGTCCAGGAGTATCATCTTCGTCTGAAAGACATAATGAAGTTATTCGATCGACCATTTCTGTTAGATGTTGTTCGCAGATAATGTCGAAATCACATTTTGATATTGATCGAAAGTCAATATTGCATTTTCGAAAATATTCGAGAATAAGAGCATCAAAACGACGATTGAGACCATGAAATGCATGAAAAATATGAGATGTAGTGAGACATTTAAACAGTTCAAGTAATAACTCGTTAGCTAAAGATTCAAACTGCATGTATTTTTTTCGCACACCTTTAATATAATTTCGAATTACTGGACCAGGAATAAAAATGACAAACGTACTGTGTGTTGTATCTTTAATCAAAAAATAAAAAAGTATGATATGACTCGTTTTTCTTTTAATTCTGTTTTGATGTCGACAAGAGAAGAACGGTAAATATGCCTGTTATATTTTCTTCATAGAACTGTTTGTCGCTCGTTTTGTAATTGCATGCGGTATGCGTCATTCATATTATGTGTGGCGCAAACTACTGCAAAGACCAACAATCAACTGACTGACTCAACAAATATGGTTTTTTTCAATTATCATCCGTTCGCGAAAATGTAAAAGAAAGTCATAAAATGGTGCATGTACTTGTGTGACTTCGTGCAGGAAAAGATAAATGTGAACACGGGATGGACTGTATATTGCTTGTATGTACATGTATAAACATGAACCTGATGAGAACTTACATAGATTTGAACCTGATATCTTACATTTGCAGAGGATGTGGGTGCGAGTCTTCTCTTCACCTACACCCATACTTACATCTATTCTTTGTTCTTTATATGAATTGCCATTCCATATATTAACAATGTCTTAAAACACCTGATGAGGCCTGTAGCTTCACAGCAATACGTGTGGCGGATTTTCATATATCCATACCTACACCACCACACCCCGTATTTCTCACTCTCACATCAATACTCAATCTTATAAAAATCTGCGTAAACAATAACAAATTTTTCAATGTTGAATACACCTTGTGTCTTATTCACAAGAAAACAAATGTTGATCAAATGTTTGCATCTGACACGAATTTTACATTTTCTTATTGGATAGTTGATCGAAAAATAATAACAACGCGTCGAAATCTTTGCAGGCATATATTTTTGAATAAATAAAATTTCATTCACATTTAAATGTTGGCGCAGAAGGAAAATATTTTTTGTATTTATTTCATGCTGTGAAACAGCCATTCATTCTTGATTTTCCATTTAATGACAAGATGTACCTTGTGAAAATAGAACAAAAGAAAGTGATTGTTCGTACATAAAGAGATGTTGTGCTTTTCATCGATAAAATAGTCTTGGAAGTCTCATAATGTCGTCGGATATGGAACCTAGATGTATGACCATTCTGTATCAACTAACTAAACTGACTTTGATAATCCAACTGCTTTCACACGAACGGGAGGTAGCGAACAATTCTTTTCAGACGAACTGAATTTGGAAACATGTTCTTCTAATATGAACTGGTCTTCCTGAACATTTAGTTTTATTCGACTCATCAGATTCGTGACTGCTCCATTTTGAGCCATAGAACTGAACTGCACTAGTATATTGAAATATAGGTATCAATGGCGAGACGTGCTCGTATTCCGTATATTCTGAACTCTTGAGACTTTTTCCATTCAAACATTTATAAGAAAAAAACATTTAAATATAGAACCGATCGTTTTTCTACACTTTAAAAAATGAAAAATTTTCTATAAACTCTAGAAGGATTTATGTCGATGTTATATACTTTTCAAGAATTTATGAGCCGAAAGGTTTATAACAGTAAGGGTATATGATGTACATTTAAAAGTTTATTATTCAATGTATTCATCAGAAGCGTTTATTATTCTATGCATAGAGATACATTATTTTACGTTTTCTTCAGAAAACTTTCGTATTCTAGGCACAATGGCAAATTATTTTACGCTATTTTTACGATGTAGTCATTCTGATAGTTGTCCAGCATCTTATGAGAGAAATAGAACAAGACAATTTAGTTTATTTTCTTTCCCTTATTTAGTTATTACGATAAATAAAAAAACAACCAGGAAAATGAATAACTAACTAATGAACAAAGCGAATAAATATATAACGAAAAAAATGGGTAAATAAATATATAACGAAAGAAAAGAACAGGGATAATACGATCGAGAAAAAAGACAATATTGAACACGTGAGTTATAATGTTGATAGCATGAATTATGTTAACTGAACGTTTTAAATTATGTACTGTTTGTTTTGTTTCGATTAAACACATAATTAATAACCTTGTTTGATGATTTATTGTCTCTTCCAATTGCGCTCTATTAATTATATCTTTTCGACTTATTATTAGTCACAACTATTGATCATTCATAGAACATAATGATCCATATATGACAGGTATATATGTAGTGTCTATGTATAACTCAGTGCACATATCATTATCCAAGTCAACTATATTAAACAGTTCCAAATGGCATCCCCAACATCTAACCGGTAACCGTTTATTAATTTTCTCAAATCTGATCAGGTAAACGATTTCCAAGTAGCTGTATACGTGTCTAGTGGTTGTCTTCGTTTAGTCAACCGTCGACATGCCAGCTGCTCGCTTGATCTGGATCAACTTGCAACGATGAAAAGTCTTCGACCACAAGAGAGTCAGTTATATTTGGACTTAATAAACAAATCTATAATTGTGTTGATTTCGGTACTTTTTAGACAAAACGGACGCAATGCTATGTTCAAGAACATCATCTCAACTAACCATCAATTGATTACCTGCGCGTTCATTTACTCTTAAGTGGCAAAATCTGTTCAAAATCAGTTCAAGAACGTTTCAACACGCTTTGTGTTTCAAAATCCATTGACAGATTAAAAGCATTCGCTCGTCATATTGTTCTTCACTCTTCTTTAGATCATCGTCGTCTTTCCCTGCTTGTGTCGAAAAAAAATTATAAGGAAGGTCAGTTCACATTCTTCTCTATTCAAATTTTCACTTACAGGTACATTTCTATTTAGCATCTTATCTGTGTCATACAATTGGCTGCATATCGAAAGAGCATCTATGCATCGAAATATGAGAAGTCAACTAACAACGAAGCCAATGTTCAGCTATTATGCTACACATTCATGAAAATACTACTGGTGGATTCTTAATATTTCAGGTTAATCTTTGTCGACATGGTTTACAACATGACGAATCAAATGGTGACTTCTTCACATAAAGCTACAGGAAGATTCAAGCAGTATTTATCAATGACGATGACTTGCTTTAGTTTTTTTAAAATTTTTGGTTCTTTTCATTTTTTTTCCAATAAACTATCTTCAATTTCCCTTTTCTTCATTCAGAAGTAACAAAATCTTTGTATTTATCAAAATAAATCTAAAAATATTACTTCATTGTCAAATACAAATTTTCTATAATACAAAATTTACACATATCGCCACAATAAAGAAAACTAAATTTATTTTATATTTAATGAACAACTTCGTTTTTAGTATAAAAATAAAGATTTGATAATAAAAAGTAGTTTCTGTTGATTAGTACAATTCGATTTGATGGAGAATATAAACAGATGTAGGATATTCTAGGTCAGGATTCGAGTATTTCTTGAATGGATTTGCTCGGAACGGAGACCGAAACAATCAACAAGGGATCAAGATAGAAATCGATGAGCTCTATCCAATGCATGTTTTATGAGTTCGATTCCATGCTTCCATCACCTAAAAAAATGTCTCGATAATCCTTGATTCTGAGATTACTGATTGTTATGTATATGTATACGACTCTTATTAGTTTGGCTTTTAACATTTTATTCTAATATTCTAAGAGAAAGCTCGGTCTGATAAATATGTAATACTAAAAAATATTACAAACTATTAAAATGAAAATTGTAAACAATGATGTCTAGTCGAATTAAAATTTAAATATGGTGACAGGCTATGCATTGGTAACAAAAGTATTTATTCCACTATTCTGTACAACGATAGTGTCTAGAAAAGAAAACATGAATGATTTTAAAGTGACATAGTTGGAAGTTTAAAAAAATCCACCGTTAATGTAGTATTTCTGTATTTGGATCAATCGGTGTTCTTTAGAACGATATGACATATCTTCTTCCTCTTATATCCTTATTTCAAGCAGCAAGTATTCGACAATAAACTACTATGAATAGTACTTGTGATTGTAAGAAGTCAATTTCAAGTCTATTAACTCTGTATTTTCATCAATCAACGTATATCCCTTTATAGGCTTACACAACACATTGTGATGCTTTCTCTATCTTTTAACTTTTTCAAGTTTCTGAGGTAAAGATCATTAGAAAAAACTAATAGTTGTCTGTTGTTTATTATTCCCATTTTAGTGCTTCACATGCCTACAAAATACAAAAGAAGAATAAAAATAACAGTTAATAACTATTATTTTAAGATGCTAACAATACAAAAACAAGTGACTTTTACTTTATTTTTATTTAGATATCATTTGATGGGCTGACCATGGACGCTTGATTTTAAATCTTATGGGCTATATTTTAAACAAGAACTAAATGCGACAAGTAAGACATTGATGTCTGGTTGATTTCACTATCGAACGTTCCTGTTAAGGCAGGCTAGTATACATTTTTTACAAAGAGATAATGTCAAGTGTCTTACTTCACTAGCACCGCTGAAACTCAAGCTTCTGAAGTAATTGTTTATATGAAGAAATAGATTTTTGTAATTTTAGCAGCTAAATCCTACAAAAAATTCTTACATTTAGTAATTTTGATCATCATATGCTTATGTAGGAGTACGCCAGATGTCATATTCGGAATTATTTTAAAAAAACTGCGTCAAATAACACATTTTTTATCCAAAAATACACCTGTATCCTCTGTTATTCTGTTTTTTTCAAAAACTTTGTTCGTGGTCCACACACTGTGTCTTACTGATAGACAATATTTTTCACTGAAAGATGCTATTTGACGCAATTTTTTATGTTGATATAGAATGTGACATTTGAGTCACATTGTTAGTGTTGTGGTATTCAATTCGTACTATGGGATTCACTTATTATTGTTTTTTCATGTGAAAATAAGTCATTTGAAACTCAGAGTGAAAGTCCAGGAGTTTTCTCTAAAAAAAAAAAGGTTTTTTTAGGTCTTTCATTGGTCTACTTGTATTAAGAAGAAGCATTTGAGAAAAAGACAAGAAGTATCAAATATGAACTCTAAGAAAATGAAAAAAAGAGAGTCCTTACCAATGCTAGTAAAA